CCCCAAAACCCCAAAACCCCAAAACCCCAAAACCCCAAAACCCCACTGTTAAAGAGTCAGGTTGAATTATAAAAATAGAACAAAAGAGAATGGGCTCATCGGAATCCTGACCAACAAGTAAGGAAAATAAAGCCCTCTTTCAAGTTTTAGAGAGTTTGCAAAAAGAAACAAAGAAAAGTGAGGAAATAAATGTGCCAGTTGAGGTTATCCCCAAGAAATTTACAGAAACTTACTACATGAAATCCTTTGACAAGACAGAGAGATACCCTCCTATTAAGGATGCATTGGACGACCTTAAGTGCATATGCTCAAAGAGTTATATCGGCGATTTGTACGAGAAGCATAAGGAATCCCTTGCGAAAGTAGTCACTTCCATCTGGACTAAAGATATGTAAGTTTTATAAGAATGAATTCAATTAATTTTCTTTCCTTTTTAGAGAATTCACAAAGCTAATCAATGCAGCACTAATTGTTGATTCTGTCAAGACCTTTAATAAGGATGTTTCAGAGAAAAATTATAAATTGATGAAAGAAGAGGTAGCCAAGTCAGGTAAAACCTATACAGAAATCATTGATAAAAGCATAAAGTTCATGAGGCTCCTCAACTCCTACATTGTTGATAAAGGAATGGGATTCAACACAGAAGATAGAGTGGTGTATAGAGGAGTTTCTACAGAAATCTTTCGTAATGTTGAATGCGGAAAGACCTTCAGAATAGTGAATTGGAGTAGCTGTAGTGAAGATCTACATTTAGCTAAATTTTTCTCAGGATTTTGAGGTCCTCAAGATGAAAAGAATAGGACAGTAGCAAAGTTTAATATCAAGTAAGTATTCCTTGTGATTTTGAAGGAGTGGGTGTTACAATGCAGGCAAGCTTAATGATATTGGAATGTCCTGTCATAGAGACGAAAAAGAGACTTTACTCCCACCTTATACTATTTGAACAATCAAATAAGAAGACGAAGCTTCGTAATACCACCTTAAACAGTCTCGTCTCTGATTCTTGTAAGTCTAAGTCATGAATCTTTAGCTTCTTATGCTAATGAGAACAGCAGTGAAACTTTTTCACAGCTATTTGCAGGAGATGAGACTGAGTCCGAAACAGAAATAACCCATTTGCTCGAGGTGGACATTTGAGTTGACAACAAGTCTTGTAAATTAGAAGTTGAGAGTGCATGCTATTTCTAGCCAAATTAAGCCAAGTTCAACCATCTTTAGTTAAAAAGGGGTTTTGGGGTTTTGGGGTTTTGGGGTTTTGGGG